CTGGGGAATCGAACCCAGGGCCTCAGGCATGCAAGGAAAGCGCTCTACCACTGAGCCACCTTCCCAGCCCTATTTCCAAGATCATTGCAGAGATCAAGGAACAAGATATTTCAAAAGTGACTTCCTCTAGACATAGTATATTTGGATGAACAAGTTGAACCCCAAACATGACAAATATTTGTCCAAAACAGATGGTTAGTTAGTCAATGGCTAAACTAGAATTTAAATTCATGACATTGTCTGCCCTTTTTGACCAGGACTGATGTTTACAGCTAAGAACCTATAGTAAGCTCTTGACATTTCAGTAAAAATGTGTCTCAGTTGACCTGTGGTTTGCTTCTGATGCTTCTACTATACAGCTAATTTCCTGGCTTGAATTTGCTTGAATTTCAGCCTATTTACTTGACTTCCTTCTGTGTACTCGTCTGCTAGCATTGACAGAATAAAACAGCACACATACTTGTGGGAGAGAAGTTTCCTTTCTCACAGTGCTGGAGGCTAGGAAGTCTAAGATCAGGATGCCACCAAGGTGGGATTTGTTCTGAGATCTCTTTCCAAGTCACCATCTTGCTGTGTATTCATGTGGCCCTTCTCTGTATCCACACAGACACAGAACAAACTCTCTGTTACCTTTTATTACAAGTACACTGATCTTTTTGGACAGGACTTTACCCTCTGACCTCCTTTAAGCTTAATCACTTCTATGTAGGGCTTGACTCCAAGTCCTGTCACATTAGAGATTAAGGCTTCAATGTGTGGGTTGGGGCAGGAACACAAGTCAGTCTATAGCATTGTGTCACATGTCCTTCCCCCATCCCTCATGAGCCATTCCATTCACAACTGTTTCGAATAGGAGGTCTGGGGGTGAATATGTGAGTATACTAAGAACCTAATCATGAGGTTATATGTTTTAGGCTCCTTTTTCTTGGTCATCCATTAGCCAAATCCAAACAATATGTCTGAAGCCCAAGTTCAGATCAGTTTGTTAAATGGTCATATGAAGGGTGAGTTTCAGGGCTGAAGAGTTTAACTGAGATAGGTAAGAGGATTCATTCAGAGAAAAAAAAACCAACAGGAAGAAATTCTCTTTGCAGGTGAACAGAAACAGGGAAGCTCTTAAACATAGAGCAACTTGAGCCTACTAGGATCTTATTCCAATGCACTAGAACAATTCTGTACTGTTTTGAAATCAGCCACTGACATTTATTCTGATATTTCCAGGGGGCAATTATATAAAATAACACATTTTTGAGGAAAATTAGCGTGTGTGTGTGTGTGTATGTGTATGTGTGTGTGTGTGTGTGTGTGTGTGTGTGTATGTGTACTAGAACTGCAGCTTAAACTCAGGGCCTAGATGCTCCACTAGCCTTTTTCACTCAACACTGCTACTCTACCACTTGAGCCACACCTTCACTTCTGGCTCTTTGCCTAGTTAATTGCAGATAAAAGTCTCATGGACTTTTCCTGTACTAGCTGGCTTTGAACTTCAATGTTCAGATCTCAGGCTCCTGAGGAGCAAGGATTACAGAGTAAGCCATCAACACCATCTAAAAATTGTTTGTTTAGACAGATAAAAGGAAAACAAAATTTGTCGAAGTATAAAATGAAATATCCAGATTTAATGAGCCTCCAATAAAATGAATGTAATACAGCTTTATTTCTCTGGTACCAAGAGTTTGTCCATTCAGCAGTGATTTTTATCAACCAGCTGCTTATCCCAATTACACAGAAACTTTGGAGTGCTTCGGCTTTTTTTGTAAGATAATGGCCTTCACACCCTTGAAGAAATGACAACAGCTGTTTTCTTTGCTAAGTGAGGCTCCAAATAGTTCTCACCTATATCTCAAAGAAGTATATACAATAAATTATAAAATAACACATGAACAATACAGGCTTCCAGAAAAAATCCAACTTATTTCCCTTCCCCTGAGCCCATTTGATCTAAGTGTCTGATTTTTTTTTCAGATTTTAAAATATGTATTTACTTATAGGTAGCTGGACAAATACTTTTATAATTATATTATGCTATTTTATTCTCAACACTTACTTGTTACAAAGTTTAAATAAACATTGATGCACAAAAATCCCACATGGTCCTTCCTTAAACACACTGCTTCTTTGGGTAGCCAGTTTCACAGGACAGAAGCTTGTATCATGAGAGCTCAGGTTGTTAAGGAATGAGGGGCAGAACAGTTTCTTTGGAGAAGGGGTAGGAGGGTACAAGATGGAACTCTTTAGAAGGCTGAGTAGAAAGTTGCCATGTAAATAGGGAGGGTATGCTTTAATCAGTAAAAAGCCAGAAGTGTAGGTATAGTTCAAATGGTAGAACACTATGATTTGATCAGAAAAGCCCAGTGAGAGCTTGAGGCTCTGAGTTCAAGCCCCAGTGTGCATGCATACATACCCACATGCACACACAGACACAGACACACACAGGATAACAAGCCAAATTGAACAGAGGAAATATTTTATTCTGGAATCTTGCAAATGTAAAAGTGATTGACAAAAATACTCAAGAACAATCCCTGTGTCAGGCCAGGGGCTGGTCTATTAAAAACAATGAAGATGGGTTTTGGAGCACCTATTTTCCTACAGCATCTAAAGTAAAGATGACTGAGACCCACTGATTCCAACGGACAGGTTCTGGCTTTGAGTGGTGTGACAACTGCCTTTCATATGATTTGACCCTTCTCTTCTAGAACCTGGAAAGTCTTCCTCTAGTATGATTTGGGCTTCATGAGAGTTTGAATGCCAATGTACACTTTGCTTTGTAACTTTACAGACCAGTCAAAACTGTTGATGAGACATTTTCAGTGAGAAGAGGACAGGGAAGAAGATGGATACAGTCTCTTCTCTTTCCCTTTCCACCATTGATTGTGTTCCTTTTTCTTTTCCTGTTCTAACCAGTTGCATTTGCTCTCACGCCCATAGGAAATATTGCAGATCCCCTTAACCAATGGAGATAGCTTATCATCTCTATTCTTGAGTATAAGACTGGTTACGTATGCCTCCTGCCTACTTGCCACCATTCTGCTCGGTCATTCCTTTCTCAGAACCAGACACTTCATATGTATAATCACCATAAAATCTAGGCAATATTGGCTGTGGAATCTACCTTTAATAACATCAGGGAATAGATGAACTCTCTCTACCTTGGGCCTACTTTGCCTTCATAGTCACATTTCAGATGATATCATTCAATCAAAACACATTACTTTTTACTCTTGAGGCACTTTGTGTTACAGTGTGTGTATTCAAGTGACCATGGATGTGTTCTGTTTGTCTCTGTTCTGACATGTACATTCCACAAGGTAGAGACTAGTGTATGCCCTAGCACCTAGGAGAACTGTCATACAAGACCTGCTCAACAAATATTTACTGAGTAAATGCAAGAATTTCTAGATAATAAGAACTGTTTATTTGTTTATTTAGTTTTATTTTTTGTGCTGGCACTGGGATTCTGGACGAGCCCCCATCTGTTGTAAGGTGAACTATCCCAGAAGCCACATTTTGATAGATGGAATTTTGGAGTCTTTATTACATAATTAGCAGGCCACAGATAGCCAGTTGTTATAAAGGCCTGCAGCCCCCAAATACATATAACACTGTTAGGAAAAAGGCCAGATTGGAAAGAAAGAACAAAAGCAATACCAGTAGACCAATTCAGCTCTCAGATGGGATGCCATGACCACTGAAGATGAGACAGGAGACAGGACACGATCACAGAGACACATATATGGTGTCCTGGCGCCTATGCTGTTCCAGGCCTAAATAAGATCAGGGTAGGGGGCAGGGTCACAGGACACTTCCAGTTCCAGGCACTGAACTGACAGGTTCAGCAACCTATCAGCCAAGTGCCTACCCCTGCCTCCAGGGACACAGACACACCATTCATCTGAGAAGGGTCATGCTCCCAACTCCCACTGTGAAGACTAGATGCCAGACCTTAAATGGACGTACTCTGGTACCAGCAGAACTTTTCCATCCAGGGAAGATAGGCCTTAACCTTCCATATAGGGTGTGCTTAGGTTACTCAGAGGCTGGTGATTCAAACCATTTAGGGAGCTAATCAGTGCAGAATCAGAGCATTCAGCTTTCCAAAGGCTATGACATCTGCATTTCTCTAAAGCGAAGCCCTCCTAGCTCACCCCATTGAGCCAGGCATCTGCACTTCAAAGGATGTCTTGTCATCTCTAGGCTTTGGAGCTGGGTGAACAGCCCCCATCTCCTGCCTAGGCACCAGAATGTCTGCAAGAAATTATGTGGGCTCAGCTACCATACTTCAGGATTAGGGCTTGAACTCAGGTCTTGATTCTTTTCCTTAGCTTTTTTGTTCAAGGCTGTTACTCTACCACCAAAGCTACAGCTCCACTTCCAGTTTTTATGCTGGTTAATTGGAGGCAAGAATTATACAGACTTTTCCTGCCCAGACCAGCTTCCAACCATAATCCTCAAACCTTAACCTCCTAAGTAGTTAGGATTATGCTGTGAATCACTAACACTGGCTTGGTTTTGTGTCTTTTTAATCTTTGTCTCTACCACAGCATCTTTACATTGAAAATAGATTTTTTTAAAGATTTTTTATTTAGATTTTATTTCCTAAAAATTTATGGCAACTGCCTTTAAAAGATGAAAATTCAGACATGCTTAACCCCACCATTGCTACAGCCATTTTCATTTCCAAATTGTCTGATTATGTCACGGGTTTTCCTTGGTATGTAAAAGACAATTGAGCTGTCCCTCAGTGTCCTAGAGGGAAGGCTTAGTTGTAGGATCCTTATGAGTACCACTGTTTTTTCTATTGATAAAATAATGAGATGAAATAGTGGTACTCATAAGTTTTAGGATTCACTAGGTGTTCAATATTTGCTAAGCAATTAAATTGTTATTCTATACAAAAATAAAGGTATTCTTCCCACCTGTACTATTGGGATCATTGGGGGTATTTTATATTTTACAATCAAGCATTCATTTCTCTCTGGGTTTGACCTGTTTTTCAGGGAGGTTCCCTTGAAGGATGCCAAGGAATATGCTGAATCCATAGGTGCTATTGTGGTTGAAACAAGTGCAAAGAATGCTATTAATATTGAGGAGCTCTTTCAAGGAATCAGTAAGTACTTGCAATTGTGTTTCCTCTTACCTTGCATTTTTAGGCTTCAGGGAGACAAAGGATAAGAGTATAGAGCTCAGGAAGTAGAACTTATCCACTGTGTAAATTTATCTGCTGCCACACATAAACTTCCAACTCTGCATGCACCTCTTTTATGCCTTTCCATTCCAAATTTCCATAATTCTATGCCTTAATCTGCTTTTTCTGGTTTATATTAATCTATAAACTCATTTTAATCAATGAACTAATGATGTTGTAAGAATAAATTTTATTTATTTATGCTGATCCTGAGGCTTGAACTCAAGGCCTAGGCACTGTCCCTCAGCCCCTCAGCTCAAGGCTAGCACTCTACCACTTGAGCCACAGTGCCACTTCCAGCTTTCTCTGCTTATGTGGTGTTGAGGAATCAAACCCAGGGCCTCAAGCAGGCAAGGCAAGAGCTCTACCACTGAGCTACCTTCTCAGCCCCTACAAGTTATTTTTATAATTAGATTCAGTTGTATTTATAATTAAAATCAAGTTCTATAGCATTTTGTGTATATTGAGAGGAGAGGAGATGAAATAGGCAATGATATAATATAGAAATACAAAGTCATCCATTAAGCTGAATAGCTCTAGACTGTAAGGTCCACTCCTGGATGGCCAGCAGACTCTACCCTCCTTGCAGCAAAGTCTCCACCCAGTACCTGCATTACCTAGGCAACTGGCACACCTGGAAGAGGTCACATCTGCATCCACTAAGGTGATATCTGAATTTGATGTGGCCACACCTTTCTCCACCATACCCTAGATAAGGCCTAGCCCAGGCCCAGAGGCCCTCTCTCTGCTCTTTTCTAGCTCTCTCTGCTCTTTTCTAGCTCTTTCTGCTCTCTGTTCTTTTCTAGCTCTTCTCTCTCTCTTTCCCAGCTCTCCCAGCTCTCTTTCCCAGGCCTTTCCCCACCACGTGGAGGACCAAGATGGCCTGGTGCCAGCCTGAATGATGAATAAACCTACCCCTTACCTGAATACCACGTGCATGCTGCTGTTCTTACTCGGCCACCTCTTTTTAAAAACCTAACATAGACAAGCAGGTAATAAGGAAGCTGGATGATCACACACACACACACACAAAGTCTTCCTCTTATATGACCTGAAATTGGAAAATGGGTAATCTGTTACATATGGATTCCTTTCCTATTTCTGATAAACTGATTCCTGAAAGGGGACAACTGTGTGTGCCCAGCTCTGTATCATGTCATGCCTCACTTTCTTTCTTTCTTTCTTTTTCTTTGTCGGTTGTGGGGATTGAACTCTGGGCTTGGGTGCTGTCCCTGTGCTCTTTAGCTCAAGGCAAGTACTCTACCACTTGAGCCACAGCTCCACTTCTGGTTTTCTAGTGGTTTATTGGAGATAAGAGTCTCAGGGACTTTCCTACCAAGGCTGGCTTTGAACCGTGATTCTCAGATCTCAGCCTCCTGAGTAGCTAGGATTACAGATGTGAGCCACCGGTACCCGACTTCACGCCTCACTTTCTTTACCATGGTTTCTCATGAATGACCTCATCAATGATGCTTCCCACTAATGGCATACTAGCACAATGGTCTGCATCTGTGAGACTTCATAAGTGGATCATGACACTCTGTTCTGGCTCCTGCCAGAGAAGTACCTGCTAAAGGCTGTCAGGGGAAATGGCTCTCAATTCCCAACACACATCAGAGTGGTCCTCAAAGAGCTTAAGAGGAGTTCCTATATTTGGTGAGATGCTGGCATTACATGTTCTGGGGGCCCCTCACTAGTTAGCAGTTGTCCTCATACATCTTTGTGTCTGACATTTCTAAAAGGGACACTGATAGCTTGGCTCTTGCCTCTGCCTGAGGTCATAGTTGGCTGATCTCTCTGAGGCCAGAACAGATCTGATTTTTGCTATACTAGTTTGGGTCTATTATTCGGGGCGGGGGGCATTGTTTGTATTTATTTATGTTGACCTCATGGACAATTCACTGGAGATAGGTGTTCTGGTCTGTATTACTTCTGTTCAAAAGAAATATGCAAAGGAATGCTCTAGAGCTTTTCTTCACAGCATGGGCCTGTAACCACAGGGACCTCGTTGCTGTTCCTTCCTTCTTCCTTCACAAATATGGTTTTCTAATGTTATATAACACCTGCAACAGAAAGATGTCCTCAAACTCTACATGGGTGGTTATGTTATATGGCGAGAAAACAGAGAAGCCACATTTTGAAAGGTCCAACTGGGAGTCTTTATTAAAAGGCAGATGGATCTGCATATGGATTCCTGTCTTAAAGATCTGTACCCTCGAACAGAGCTTACACAAAGCTTTTAAGGACAAAGATCACATGCTTGGGGTGGGGGCTAAGCAAAAGCAGACCTTATTAGGACATACTCAGGAACAAGCTCAGCTACCAGCAGATAGCCTCAACCTTCCCTATAGGGGAAATCTTCCCTTCAGATAGCCTCAACCTTCCCTATAGGGGAAATCTTAGAGGCTACTCAAGCCATTTAGGGAGTTACTAAAGGCAGAATCAGAATACTCTCTATGCAAATCTTTCTTAAGGCTATGACATCTGCATCTCTGAAGCTGGGCTCACCTAGCTCACCTGGAGTTAGGCATCTGCATTCAGTGAATGGCCTGTCTTATCTCTAGGCTTTTCTGCACTGGGTAGAAAACTTCCACCCAGCAAGAGGTACCAGGATGGCTTTAAGAAGTTACCTAGACTCAGCCTCCTTACTGCAGATCTTTAGCTTGCTAAGGCTTTAACACCTTGTTGTTGATCCCACGTGCTCACTCTTCAGCTGCTTCTGGGATGAATGGGCTGGGGAAGCAGAAGTTGTTGGTACTGAAGTAGGGAGGCTGAGTCTAAGTAACTTCTTACAATCATCCGGGTGCCTCTTGCTGTGTGGAGGGAATTCTCTACCCAGTGTTGAAAGCCTAGAGGTGATGCCTAGCTCAAAGTAAGCTAGGAGGGGTTTGCTTCAAAGCAATGGAGATGTCATAGCCTTAGGAAAGCTTTGCATAGGGAATGCTCTGATTCTGCCATAACTCCCTAAATGGCTTGAATTGCCTACCTCTGAGTAGCCTATATGGAAGGTTGTGATGGTAAAGTTCTGCTGGTACCTGAGTATATCCATATAAGGTCTGGCATCTTGCCTTCATAGTGAGAGAAGCTCCCCACCTCCCAGGTGATGGGTGTTCCTAAATCCCTGGAGACAGGGGAGAGTACTTGGATAATAGGCTACTAAAGCTGTCAGTCCAATACTTGGGATGGGGAGTTTCCTGTGACTCTACCCCCTGAGCTGACAGTATCTAGGCCCAGACCAGTTCAGGCACCATTACATCATGTCGCCTGTCTGCCGTGTTCCTATCGTGTCTCCCGTCCCCTGGTTCTTTTCTGGTTACCATGGCTTCCCAGTTCAGCTTCCCAGGAGCTGAGCTGGTTTGTTGGTATTGTTTTTGTTTCTTTCTTCTCTGGCCTTCATGGCTCAGTTTCCTAACCGTGTTAAGTGTGTTTGCTGGCTGCTGGTCTCTGAGACAGGAGTCCACTATGGAGTTGCCAGCCTTTTAATAGACTCCAAGATTCGACCTCTCAAAAATGTGGTTTCTCTGTTTTCTCACCTTACAACAGTACCAGTGTCACTCCTGAGATAGCTCAGGTTCTGCCTGAGTTCATTATGTTAGACTTGAATTCGAGACCCCGGAGCGACCCCCAGAGACCATGACCAATGCAAACAGCAAAAGAGTCGTTTATTTGCAAGATCGAGCCTGGACTCACAATCGTCACTGACACGCGGGTCAGAGTTGTGAGCCCTGACCACATGTTCAGTAGGGTTCTTATAGGGTTTCTAGCAAATAGGAGGGGGTTGAAGGGTTGTGGGCTTCTACATAATTGGTCAGCAATTGGTCAGCATTTTGCAGGCTGATTTCAGGGTAAGGTCATTGGTTAGGGGCATAATCATTTCGAGTTAAGGGTAGGGGCTTTCCAACTTAGTAGTTACAGATTGGTTAAATCATACATAGCAAGCAAATCATTGGTTGGGATACATAAGACTAACCATAGGAATGCAGGAAACAATATATTTATAGGAAACTATATTTTTTTCACTGTTTATGACCCTACAGGTGCTTTTTCCAGGAACTTGACCCACCTGTCCATTTTCCAGTAACTGGGGTCGTGTTTCTCAACCCTTTGCCTAATGGCAGCTGCTAGGGGATATAATTGCAATTTCAATTGTGGGTTTTCCGAGAACCTTCCAAGAACTGGTTTTCCCAATAACTATTTGTCTTAAGTGGCTAACTTGTGTTCTCCCTCAACAATTATATGACCCTGTATTTTAGAGAAAATTCATTCTGTTCTTTTTTATACTAGTACTGAGACTTGAATTCATGGCTTAGGTTCTGTACTTTGGCTTCTTTGCTCAAGACTGATACTACCACTTGAGTCATCATATCACTTCCTGCTTTTGTTGGTTAATTGGAGATAAAAGTCTTAATGGACTTTTCAAAGTCCTGTTTGGACTGGCTTTAAACCATGACCTCAGATCTTAGTCTTCTGAGCAGCTAGGATTACAAGGGTGAGCCAACTGCACCTGGTACTAAATTGATTCTTATCTGGTGCTATTAGGCCTTTCTAGTAGAGTCAGTTATTAAGCCTTTTGTTTCTACAGGTAGTTTTTGTTGTTGTTTGGTTGGTTGTTTGGTTGGTTTTTGTTTTTTGGGTTTTTTTTGGCCAGCCCTGGGGCTTGAACTCAGGGCCTGGGTACTATTCCTGAATTTCTTTTGCTCAAGGCTAGCACTCTACTACTTGAGCCACAGCACCACTTCTGGCTTTTCTGCTTATGTGGTATTGAGGAATTGAACCCAGGGCTTCATGCATGCTAGGCAAGCACTCTACCACTAAGCCACATTCCCAGTCCTCTACAGGTAGTTTTAATTAACAACCCAGTAATGTTGCATTAGTGTCTCTTGTTTGTATAGTTCCTTGTATTCTGTAAAGCCCATTCTCCA